GTGTAGTTGTTGTTTTAAACTTGAGTATGAACTTATACAAAATGCAGCAAGATATTTAAAAAACTGTTTTGTTGATTAAAAAACACTATATCGGATTCATATCGGTATCGGCAGATATCCAAATTTATGATATCGGTATCGGACATAAAAAAGTGGTATCGTGCCATCTCTAGTCTGCACAAAGCGAGAAATTGGAAAACATTTAAAAGCTGCAGAGCACTTACATTGATTTCTCTGGAGGTGAATGCTAAAGAAAAGTGTCTGTTGTAATAAGAAGTATGCGTCGCCTCAGGGAAAAAATCCATTTTTATTCCAGTGTGATTTTAACAGATGACAGAATGATGACAAAAAAATGAGAAAGAAAGACGCCTGAATGAAGAACTGTCCACAAATACCAGAGCGACAAAAAGAAAAGTGAAAATTACAACCTGGAAGAACACGGGCTTTTCTAACTGCACATAATGTGAACGACTTCTGACGAGAAGACGCCGTCGGGCAGCTTCCATCAAGCATTAAAATTTATATTTTTAATCTAGAACTCTGTGTTCCCTGATAAAATACTACTCCTGGAAACAGGTGAATTATTTGTGAGGGAGGTAAGATTCAGGAAAGGATGGTGAACCTCACCTGAACTTTCTGCCTGCTACTTGGTGAAAGCTGTATAGTAAAAAGGATTTTCCTGCTTCCATTCTGCTTTCTTCTGTTTTACGCCATCAGATCTTCTTCTATCCTGTTCCAGCCATGATGTGCATAACAAACATGACCAGATAACGAGGACAGTGTATGCACAAGTAATCCATGTGAACCGGAATCACTTAGTTTACCACAGTTTTTTTCTACTTCTGGTTCTACATGATGTCATAGAGAGTATCCAATCAAAAGAAAGTGGTCTTAAAGGGTGGCCTGGAAGTGGGAGGAGCTAAATAAGGGCTATCTCTATCTGTAAATTATACAAAACTTCTCTAGTGGAGTCAAAGGATAAAATATGAGGCTGCTGTAAACTGTGTCAACATAGTGCTTTATGCTAATTTACTAATTTCATTGAGTGGTGTCTTTAGAATTTGGCCCGCGCTGATTAGTTGTAGAGATATAAGGTGAAATTTTGTTTTTGAAAAGCAAATCCGTCAGATCTTATTTTTTTCTCAAACCATGACTCCTGATAATTAACATTAAATGAAAACACTGTATTTTCTGTAAGCTAACGTTAGCACGATTATCTCTGCAGCAGCACCATCCAGATTCAGAACTTTCAGCTTCTTTTAGCGCTCACGTCCACACTTTGATTTTCTGTCGGCTCGATTAGTCCGACCGACTGCAAAAACGTTCGGGAGGAATCGATTTATTGTCTCCAGCTCACAAAAGCCAAATTCAGACTCTTTACACTGACAACAGCAGTCAGCTCTGCACGCTGTCTCCTTTGGTTACCTCAGACCGCCGGCAGAAAACAACCAGCAAACAGTCACGCTGACAGAAGCTGCTTTTCAATCCACGCCTGAGCCCCATTAATCTGCTTTAATTTGTCTTTTTACTGTCATCGCTCTTTCCATCACTGAAGTTACACTGATTTATAACCGCACCTATTTGTAATTACAGAGGATTTATTCTCCATATCTGTATTCTTGGACTTTTCTGTGGATGCCTTTGTCTCATACTGAGTCGGGTTGGCAAACATAAGGCCCAGGGGCCAGAATCAGGCAAACAACTAATAGATAAACGATATATCAGAAAGCTTTTTTAATTATCTGCCATCCAAATGTATATTATTACAGTAGGGTCATAGTAAAATATATATATATAAGTCTTAGAATCACTGGATTTTCTGCACAAACAATTATTTATAAAAATTTCAAATTAAATCAGCGTTTCTGTATCACTGAAACTGTGGGATAAACTGTTGCATCTGTTCTTTTTCTTATATTAAAATATCTCAGGGATCAAATGTGCAGTTAGACTGTACATGTACATGTAAATACTGTTATATTACTGTGATGTGATTAATGTGTTAGCTAAGAGCTGCTTTTACACATCCAGCCCACACATCGCACGTTCATCTGTAGTCACATCTCCACTCTCCTGTCTGCTGCTGGGTGCAGGTACCGTGCAGCGTGTTTATCACTGCGAGCTTTCTTGTTTTTTCTTGTCTGTAAATATCACAGTGAGAGAGAACAAAATCTGCAGCTCTGTCGGCATCAGTTTACCTGTCAGTTAATCACAATCAGCCCCACTTTGCATCACAGCTACGTGAGCCGACGTTAATAGGATGAAATATTTAGTGTTGTGGTGGAAATGTTTCTCAGTCAACACACAGTCTGCTCTGTGAAGTTTTCATTACTTTCATTAAATTTCCAGCTAAAAATCATCCTTCGCTAACGGCTCCGCCACTGAGGGGAACGACCCAGAGAGCCAACTACAGCAGAAATGATGTTTTCATCTCTGCAACACATAAAAATCTAAGTCAGGAAGTAAACAAGAGCTTTATAGCAACAACCGGCTCTAACCAGCATCACCAGGTCTCCTCTTCAGCACCATTTTCTGCATTAGATCATCTTTTTTACAAGAAGTCCTCCAACAAAGCAGTCATCATAAACTAACAATGTACCATGAAAATCATCATGTAGGACTGTTTACTGTCCACACGAGCGCACAAACCGTACCACCGCTGGAGTGCACGCTGTTCTTGGACCATCTGAAAGCTTCAGTTGTTAAGTTTAGATGCAAAGACTCTTTGCTGAGGAACAGAAAGCAGTTATGTGCCATGTGCAGCTCTGTAGAGGTAGCAACACGATCACACTTCACAACATTTACACATTCACACAAACTTCTTCTTCTGTCACCTGCTCCCTGCAGTGATCACCAAAACACATCACCTGCCTCCATCTCACCCTATCCCAGCATCCTCTGTCACGCCAACCCTCTGCGCGCCCTCCTTCTTTACATCTATGAATCCCTTTAAAAGGCCTCTACTGGTCAGCCAGATGACCCCGGGGTCAGTTTTCCTCTTTCCTATAACCTTTCCTGGTTCATTGGCACCTGTGTGGTTACAGTCCTGAATAATATTTACATGTTTTAATTTAGATATTTCAGAAAAATGCTGGAACAAACTGGGTGAGTCTGTGATGCTGCTGACCGTTAGAAAGAATAAAGTCTTACACACTTTTTTCCTGCTCAAAAAGGAAATTCATTGTATTTCTCTGCAATTATAAATTCTGTGTAACCAATCTTGGTATCAAAATAAAGCGAATACTTGTGAGATTTCATCAGAGGTGTAAGTAGTACTGCAGATGTTACTATTTCAAAGTTACTGTGACTCAAACATAGAAAAGTTAGATTTTTTATTTCCCTCGCCTCATTTTTTAAAGTGTTTTATAGCACATAACACCTTTGAAAATATGCTCTGGGTCACATTTAAGTCCAGAAAACCGCGTAACTGTTTGGCATCTTCGCTTTGTTTGGTGGTTTTAGAAATGGTTTACCTGAGATTTGAGCAGAGATTTAGAGGTTTCCGTGGATACCACACATATGACTTTAAACTATGACTATAACCTTGGCTAGGATGACATGGGGGTACATACAGACAACCTGACACTGACTGAACGGAAACACACAGACTAAATACAAACAAGGGGTGATCAAGGGAAGTGGCCACACACTGGGAAACAGCTGACACAAACAAATCATAATGACGCCACAAGGGAAGTGTAAACTAGGCACATAGAACAAGACAACAAGACCTTCAAAATAAATAGGAAGCATGATGGGATTCAGATGTGACCTGAAGTTGACAACAGGAACCATGCAGACATAACATGACAGGTAAGCAGTGTTGGGGAGTAACGGAATACATGTACCGCCGTTACGTATTTAGAATACAAAATATGAGTAACTGTATTCCGTTACAGTTACCGTTTAAAAAGGTGGTATTCAGAATACAGTTACTTTGTTGAAATAAATGGATTACACTGGGGTACTTTCCTGTTTCATTTTGTCGCGGGTCAGGACTGTTTGGGTTTTGTTTGACAGCTACGTTCTGTTGTTCCAGGCGGCAGCGTTACGGTTGCCATGGTTACATGGCGACGCTCTCTCTCTCTCTCTGCGACTGTGTGTTTCCTGGGTGAGAGAGCGCCTTTTCGTTGTTGTTGTTGTTGTGCTAAGCTAACAGGCAGAATGCTACAAGCATAGCTCTAAAGAATGTAGCATCATGTTCAGTGTAGTCCGTGCTGCAGGGAGAATGGACTGCCATACACGTTATGTGTCTGTGAGCGCTAGGAGGGAGAAAAAGGGGAGTGGAAAGGTACGAGCAGTCATCGAGCAAAAACGGGAGCTGGAAGCATGTAAATATAATAATAACCACTGCAGCCAAGAAGAGAGCCTGACGAGCCCAGTTGTAAGTAAGCTATTAAGACTCGACTGTACACGGTGTTCGTGTTTTCCTCCGAAAACAATAAGTTCCGTTGGAGCAGCCTTTCAACGCCTCTCTCTGTCTCTCGCAAGAAAAGTTGACCCAGACAACAAAGTAGAGCTATTTTTCGGCTACCAGCCGACAGGGACCCCGCCATATTAGCCAGAGGTCCCTTTACTACAGTTCGGAGTCGCGGACCTTCAGTAATAGTAATAAATTACACAGCAATAGTACATTCACGTTGTTGTAAAAAGCATGATAATATATTAAGTAATCCAAAGTATTCAGAATACGTTACTGTCATTGAGTAACATAACGGAATACGTTACAGAATACATTTTGGGGCATGTATTCTGTATTCTGTAATGGAATACATTTTAAAAGTAACCTTCCCAACACTGCAGGTAAGATACGCCCAACAACAAGGGGAACTTGGGAAACTATGGGAACGGGGGAAGATGACACAAGGAGTCTAAATGAGCACAGAACTATAACTAGGCAACCGAGGAGCTAAAGAAGACTAAAAGAACCAAAACATAAACAATGAATATCAAAATACAATGAAACGCTGGGTTAAACGACCCAGGACCGTGACACAGTGGCCCCAGAAGCAGACGTCAGGTTCAACATTCAGCCAGATCCCAGAAATTTCTTTTTTATTTAAACCCATATTTAAAACGTGTTATGCATTTCAAACTGATTCCACAGGCTGTTTTATAAATTCTGTAAGCTCTGTACCCACCTTCGTCTCCTCATCTCGGAGGTCCGGCATGGTGCTGATGCACAGACTGATGACGGTGACCATCACCATGACGATGGAGAGGCAGGCGAACATCTTCCCGGCCAGGCCGGAGTGAGGGTTCTCCACCATATCGCGCAGCACCACGATCAGTCTGCGATAGCCCTTTTCCGTCTGTGTGCTGCTCTTCTTCAGCATCGTCCTCTTCTGCCTCCACTCTTCCTCCTTACGCTCCCGCTCCGCCACCTCCTCCACCCGGGCCATCATGCGACGGCGGCAGCAGCGCTCCATATGTCCGGGGTCCACGCCCCAGTAGTCGAGCTCGTCGTGCAGCGAAACGGCACATAACTCCCGGAGCAGACGCAGTTTGCCTGCCGCCAGGAAGTTGAGGATGACCCTAAAGGCTGTTGGGTTTCGGTCGAAGAAGAACTCCTGGCAGGTTTCGTCGTAGTCGTCGCAGAGTCGTGCGATCTCCTCGGGGGTGGTGCAGAAGCGCAGGCGACCCAGACGACTCTGAGGAAACTGCTCCAGGGTGCTCCAGGGGAAGGTGTAGCGGTTGCCGCCGACATTGATCAGAACCTGCAGGGTGCGGTCGACCACGTATGAGGCCTTCGGGTCACGCAGCAGCTGGGCGCGCTGGAAGTAAACGCCTTTGAGGGTCTCGGTCTCCGGGATCTCGGTGAAGAAGCGGTCGAGGCTGCTGTCGTCGCTGCTGATGGAGTAGGTGCTGAAGTCGTGGTTGGCATTGCTGATGATGGGCATGCTGGCAGCTGGATGTGTGACGGGATGGATGAGATTTTATTATGTCCGACTGACCGCAGTTTTACGGAAGCTCCACTGAAACTGTAGGGAAGCAAAAAGACAGATTCAGTCTGTTGAAATCTTCCATTAATTCAAACTTGTTTGTCTCCAAGGGGCTCAATAGGGACCAACATGTAGTGAAGGAAGTGTCCCAGACCTCCTACTGATATCAAATCCAAGTCCTTTTACGTCACTTATCGAGACTTTTCATGTTCCTGTTTTAAAGTTACTCCAAATCAATCATCCTTTTTTGCAGAGAAGACTAAAATATCTTCCTTAATGTTCCCCACTCATACCCACAACATAAAACTATTAGGAAATGTTGTCTGACACATTCAATTAACTGCTACATCGGTGTTAAACATCCAAATTCAGAATGATTAAGAAGTTTTGGCTTGAAGCTTGACGTGACATCAGAGTCAGTATTGCAGTTTTCAAAGCGAGCTCTCGCTGTCATAACCTGTCAGATACCATCAAGAAACAAAGAGCAGTAAATGGGATGTGAGCAGGACGCCGGTTTCTGATGTGTTTAATCACAGACAACACTGAACAGACATATTGAGCCACAGCAGCAAAGCAGCCCGAAACGCGGAGAGAGAAGATGAGGCCTCTCGCATATTTGTGCGAAGCCTCATCTTCTGTAATGAGTCTGATCAAAACAAATCAGCGTGCCAGGAAAAAGAGTTCGCTGCAGTCGCTGCCAGGAGAACAACAACCCTCAGTGAAGCACAGGACCATGAATATCACCCAATTTGATGAGTATCTTCTAAAATACTGAATCTCAGACTCAGTGGCAATCATTATTAGTCTGCTATGAATTTGGTGATGGATTCTGAAGTGAACTTATTGTGTTATTTTTTCTTATTTCCTTTCATATCTCCTGTGCATGTGTTGAACATTCATAATAAAAACTGATTTTCAAATAATGAAATGTGTATGTACAAATAAATACCCAGATTCAGACAATTCCTTCTATTCTAGGAGCTTCTTTGATGATGCTGGTGAGGGGATATCCCAAATATGGTCAAAAAACCCCACCCACCTGCTGTGTCCGAACGTTTATTCTCCACTCGGGAGTGAGGTTAGCAGGGTGACAAAGTTTTCTTTCTTTATTCAGTATTAAAGGTTTTTTCTGTTCTTTAGAAAGAATGCAAAGTTTGGATCAACAACAGCTGAAAACCTAAAGTCGACTCTCAAGTCAAATACGAAGCAGGACTCTCAGCTAGGCTAATGCTAAAAGACAAAGCTATCCAGTTTTTAAGTGATGACGTGATGAACCCTGCTTCCAGGTCCAAACTACTCTGTTTATTAAAGCTGTTGTGATTTTAACATGTTTTAACGCTTTGTATCTTGTTCTTTTTAATCTCAACAAGCCCCTAAAAACAGTCAGTGATGACTGTCGGCCTCTCTCAGTTTTTATTACCACTGTTAAATTTAAAGCTCAGTGTTTAAAACCTTACAATGTAACTCCAGCCCATGCAGCAGTATATTAATGACTAACCTTGTATTGTGGATGGATTATCTCAGTTGTTCTCCTGACTGAAGTTTGGTCCCTTTACAGCATCCTGCCATGCGATTGCATTTGTCCCTAACCATCGGGAACCCTCACGTTAACTTTTATTGAGTGGAATAAAGTTAGCGTTCATCTTCCAGCTTCACTGTGTTTATGCTATGCTAACAAGCTAGCTGTGTCACTAGCAATCACGTAGCACATCATTATATAGCAGCTAGCCCAACTTCAGTAACCCTACAAACGTCACTGCTGTTTAGTTTTCTGTCTTCATTTATGTTGGAAGTGATAGCAGAGCTGTACGTTTGAATTTGTTTCAGAAATCTCTCTTGGTCAGAACATGCTATATCATGCTTAGGTGGAAACTAGCGAGCTAACTTCCTGCTAACTTCTAACTCAGTTAAATTTAAAAAAATTCTGTTTTCGTGAATGACTGATTGTGGAGTAAAGCGCTTTGGGTCCTTAGGGACTAAGTAAAAGCGCTATACAAATACAGGCCATTTACCATTTACATTACCATGCTTACCTAGACGTAGCTAAGATAAGAATTGTGCTAACCCTGAAACCCTATAAGAACAGCTCATCCAGTTTCCATATGTTTTCTGCTCTTCCATGTTATATGATCATTTAGACCAGAGGCTGAGCCAACCTGCAGATGAAACAAGACAACGAGGACAACGATAAAAAAATGAAGCTTTTTGTTGAATAAATCAGACACTGATCCTGATGTGCTGTATTAAACTATCTGGGCTTCAGGTGTCAAATCTGACAATATCTACAGCTGTAATAATTCTTCCATGCCAGTCATTAAAGAACAAATCAATGAGTCTACATTAGTTTGTGTGTCTTTTTCAGTAAAATAGAAAATTGACTGAAAGGGGAAGAAGCTCTCAACACTCCCCGTTTTAGCCTCGACACCCTGCACAGTTTCTTCACACCAGTTCACGCCTCAATTTGTGTGACTCGACGGTGAGACACAGTGATGGCGTGAACGAACCCAGAAAATGCCTGAGAATCACCAAAGAAGCTCTTTCAGCTCTACAGGTTCGAGCAGAAAGTAGTTTCACCTCGGCCTGATGTCGACAAGATGAATATAGAATCTGCTCGTATGAAAGCAACGTGGGTTTGACAGGTCGCTCAGTGTGAGCTATAAAAGACTGAGATCCTCACTTCTCGTTACAGCGAACCACACATAAGTTGTAAGTCATGCTGTAAGTACATTTAAGTAATGCATGAATAATTTAAAGTTTACAGGAAAGGAGGAGTCATTTAAGTACTGCATCATTTTTGTGGTAATTGTGAAGCAAAACAAACAAAATTTCCCCTTTCATGTTGTAAGCATGCTGTGCTACAGATTTACATATTTATTTTTTCATACAAGTTAATAAAGGAAAATATTTATAGTGTTTAAATAAAAGGACAGTTTAATAATACAATGTCCCAAAAATTACCCCATGTTTACAACACAAGATCAGAGAATATTCTTTGATTTTCTGCAGAATTCCCATTAAATTACTTAATAAATGAAACCACTTTAAATTACTTACACAGTACTAAAGTTTATTTACATCACATTTCTTTCATTTTCTGTAAAAAACCGACTTGTTACCTCCTTATTTTAGTGTATGTACCTTTAAATATTTGTAAGTAAATACAATGATGTTGTAATTTCAAATAAAATCCCATGCTGACTCCCATTATGGACTCTTGTCTACATCGTTCCTGCAAAAGCAGCCACCTCTGAAGCTTTCTTGTTAGACACAAAGCAGTTACACAAAGGAAAACCGTGCGTGTGTGAATGGATGTGCAAGACGTGGTGTGTAAGGCACTCTGTGATCAGGTAGAGTAGAGCCAGTCCACTTCCTGGTTTGTGTTGCTGATGGCTCTGTCCTAGATTCTGTTTGAGTGCCATGCTGCTCTCTATGATCTATGATCCCAATTTCAGGCACACGTCAGGGATTATTAAAGTGAGCAGGATGCACGCAGCTCAATTTGCAGAGAATCTCAATACTTTATAATTAAGAAATATAAAAGTGGGAAAAATCATTAAAACTTGTTTAAGTATAGAGTGACGGAGGGAGAAAGTCATTTTAATCCGTTTACTGTTAAATCTAAAAAACAGTGCTGTGCAGTGTGTGTGTGTGTGTGTGTGTGTGTGTGTGTGTGTGTTTCTAATGAACAGGAGGTTTATATAAAAACATAATTTGGTGAAAAACTGACATTTAATGGTAGTATGAGTGCAAACAGATCCTCTGTACACTCCTGCAAAAGCTGAACATGTTTCAAAGCCTTCAGCGTTCCAGCCCAGTCTTCATTTATGCTGTGCTAATGTAGCGCTTCTAATATCAACAAGAGGTTTCAGGAGTGAGGTCATGTTAAAAGCAAAACTACAAAAATTGTGTTGTCTCAAAAGATCATTTCCTCCTTCATAGCACCTGTACAGGGGAGAACATTTTTATAACTCACCTGTTTAAAGCTTATTAAGGCTTAAAGTTTGCATCATTGGGGGCGTGGCTTCTTGAATGACAGGTGGACGGTGACACAGGCGGCTGTAGCTGCTAGCTGTTTGCTAGCTTCACCTCAACTGGACCTCTGGACCACTTTTTTTTTGCTGTTGGAGCATTTTGACATCATGTGACCAATAATATGGCTGCTGTGAGGTCACTGCACTAACAGACCATCCAAGAAGGCGGAGCTCTGGTTTTTAGGTTTGATTTTAATTCTTACTCAGCAGTAATTACCAGACATCTGTGTCTGTGTGATGCCTGAACCAAACTAGCTAGCACTCCAAAGAAAAGAAAGAAAGACATAAAGTAATTTTAAAAAAGCTATATGTAAATAAGATAATCAAAAACATCATGGCTGCAGTCCAAGTTTTGTTTAAAATGTTGAAGCCAGATACCAGGGGCTGATGTGACTGTAGAGTCCTCCATCTTTTAGCTACAGTCTAAAGCTTTCCTCAGCCTCTCCGACCTGAAACCAGCTGTCAGCTCATATTTTTTATTAAAATGCGAGCTGAGCCACTTTCTCGCTTAAGATCTGAGATTCAAACTCAATTTTTGAAATTAAAGTTCAGCCTGAACTTGACACAGAAATGAGGGACGGACCCTGACCTACACCCCGGCCAAAGTTCCGTACAGGCCAGGTGTGATTCACTCACCTTTCAGCGCGGAGACGAGCCGCCTCGGCTCTTTAACGTGTCCCGTTCATGTTCTCTAGAAGCCGCTCCTCGGCCACTGGGACTGGCGCAAAACCGTCCGCGTAACTGCGCCAATTACGAGGCACAGGCGCTGCTCCGGCTCCAGTTTCTGAATCCAGTCTGAAGTTTGGGCTCGGTGTGTGTCCGTGCACCGTCACCGGGCTACACGCACACGTCGCCTCTCCAGCAGCTCCGGAGTTGGAGGGAACGGAATGAAACGGATTTCTTTGTGCGCAGCTCGGCGCTCGGTGTCCGCTGACCCCCGCCCCCGCCGCTTCCGAGGAGACGATAAATGCGATTACCTAACGGCGGTGTCCTCCTGAAACCTGCCGCTGGATTTTCATCTGTGTTTGACAGCAGGACCGTCCTCCTCCCCCCTCCCCCCCATCCTCCTCTTCCTCTTCTCACACCCTCCCATCTCCAGCCCTTCTCGCCGATGCACTGTAAAACACAGACAGGCTGAATGTGCTGGAAGAAGTTTGGGGCGGTTTTGTCTGATGTGAGAGACACGAAGAGGTAAAAGAAAGAGACGCGTGTAAAAGTTTAACCATTTAATCTTCAGGATCTTGTTGAGTCACTAACAGCTCCACAGCTCTGAGGTCGGACCGGATAATTCACCCTGCAGGATTTAAACTTACAGCAAGTCTGTGTGACTCCATCACAGGTCAGAATGAGAGCGTGCAGCCCTCTGGCACAAATCACAAACACTGATGGAACAGAAGCAGCAAAAACTCTCAGCTGCAACAGTAAGTCTGATGTAACCAAGAGAAAAAAGAAAGCGCGCTGCATCCATTCTGATCAGAGCAGCGGGTCTACAGCACAGCCTCTCTATTAGCCAGAGCTGTGCTTCTCACATCTACATGCAAGTGGATTCAATTTCATGTGCACACTCTGTAGACTCCAATTTGCTGCTGCTGCACTACAACGGGACCCTACTGTACATGCGTTCTGCAGGCCTTCTAGAAAATAATATAAAGCTTGATTAGACGCCTGATGACTGACACCACAGACGAGTATGTTCTTATTTTCTATTCCTGGAGGGACATACGCAGAGTTAGTCCCTGTTTTTGTTCAGATACTCAAAACTAAATGTCACAAATTCCAGGTGGTAAAAAACAAATGATGAAAAGCTGCAGTTCCTCTAACGACCAGCAGAGGCAGCAGCGAGTCAGTCCCCATAGACTCCCATGTTAAAGCTTTCCAGCAGAAATGAACATGTTTACAGCCTGATACACAAACTGTTTGCTCTGTGTGGATCATTTCCTCCTTCATAACACCTGTTAGCATTATAAGGGGCGTGGCCTATTCGTGGCTGTAGCTGGTAGCTGTCTGCAAGGCTTCACCTCAGCTAACTGGAGTCACTGAACTGGACCTCTGGACCATGTTTGTGCTGTCTGAACCTTTTTAATGACATCATCTGACCTAAAAGGGAATGCACAGAGATTACATGCACTCACACAGTTTATGTTACTCGTGTGTGTACATATATATTAATTTAATGGTTTGTGGAAAAAACAAACCAACAATGCTGTGAAACATTTTTTTCTTCTTCTAAACCTGAAGACAACAAATGAAAATGAAAGTTGGAAGTCAATAAAAGACAAATTTAAAAGAAACCAGGGGCGCTTTAATCTACTGGATAAAAAGCCTGTCTGGTATATTTTTTTCAACCTCACCCACCTGCTTAGGTGAACTCTGTCGGTCCCTTCAACAGTAAATACATTAGAAAGAGAGAAAATATGTTCCCTCCAGATGTAATTTGCAGTTAAGCTGTGTAAAAATGTCATATTTTAAAGTCAGGGTTGCTTTTTAGTTTGCTGAAAACAGCCGTGACAGAGCTCCTACACACAAACCTGTGGTGAAAAACCACAGGTTTGTGTGTGTGTGTGTGTGTGTGTGTACAATGCGACAGCTCTGTCACCTCCTACAAAAGGTTGCCGGAGCAATCTGTTCAACCAGATATTAAAGGAGGGTAACACATGCGCGCTACTGCCAGTCCCCTCATCTGCCTGGGTGTGCTTCCTGTATTTCCACTGTGTCCATCAATAAAGACCCAAAACAAAGGTTATGTTATGATAATAGGTTCAGTCTGGCCCTGCCTTAGAGAGAGACCCCCCCCC